CAAATTAACCAAATCATTACTGTACCATGAATGCTCCTATCTCCGACACTTCACACAAAAAAATAACTCTTGCACGCCTTGCGTGCCTATGTTTTTATTATTGCACACTATTTACAACTAGGAATGCTGGATTGGATATTACACTTGCCATTTAAAAGAAAACAATTTCCAGGTGTCCCTGGAGTTTTAACTACTTTTGTGGGTTCCCTTCTGTGATTTATCATGGAAGCAAACTCTCTGAGTATGCCATCAATTACAATTTTCAACGTGATGTTTCCTTAACATAACAGGAGTTTTGTAGTCCTCAGTGAACTTTTAAAAGTTCAAAATCCCCTGCGAGGACTCGATGTAGGATCTACTTTAGCCTTTCTAACCTTAGTAGGCCCCCGAGAAGTGAAAAAAGTGAAATTCTTCAGAGATCTAGATGGCAGCCAAGCTACAAAAAGGAGGCACCACCTTTAAGCCTAGTAGCTTGTTTACCCTATTGCATTAAATTCAGATTTCTGGAGCATTAGACAACTACATTGTATGCTAGAATAGTATTACTTTGCCTGAAGGTGTATTGCTTCCTCCATTAGTCTATCACAGTTTACTCTCCAGCATTCCACCAGGTTTTCTCAACACTAATTTTCCATTACATCCCTATCCTCTCAATGTACTTATTGCATTCATATCTTATCGTTTAATAGGATCTTCTAATAGTGAGAAATCACTTGAAAATATGCCTGTACAAGAGACTGACTCATATTCATTAACTTCACCAGTCCAAGACATTCGACCTGAGATGTTAAAAGGATTTGGGGAAACAATGGACAAAGAGGATGTTTGGGGTAATGAATGGAAGAGGTGGGTTTATTTTTTTCATTATGTTCGAATTTTTTTAAAAAATAAAATAATTCAAATCTTTTTGCAGATTATGATAATGATAATCGTAGTTTAATAGCAAAGTTCTTTTATAATTTTTGGTATGATTGTTACGCGGCTACTACTAAGTAATAAAGATAGACCCAAAAATGAGAGCTAAGTACATGTAATAAAAGATGGCCCTAAAAAAAGGGAGAGACCTTCGAATTCTAACAGTAAAGTGATGTTCATGCTATAAAATTATAACTCCATCAGAAACTCAAAAGCAATTCTCTTGTTCTCTTTTGATACTAAGGTATCTAAAAGATAGTAATGCGGCGGCACATTCTGTTGATAGTCACATATTTTACGCAGTGATTCATCTATCTGCGCATTCCAAGACTTCCGTTAACCTTTATTTCTTAAATTAGTGTCAAATCTTGGGGTAACCTAAAATCTGTCCTTGTGTGCATCAACTTCATGCATGATGACACATTGATGGCGAGGCGTGACAAAGGATTGAGACAAAAAAGCACATAGTGATCTGAATTATGTTTGGACATAAAACGATACACATCAACCTCCCCTTTACCAGATCGCAAAAATTGAAAGATGTGGAAATTGTAGGAGCAGAAATCTAACTTATAGATTCTATACTAGTACGCATTGAATGTCTCTAGGATGTTGACAGTCGAGGCTGTGTCGAGGACTCGTCCATCATGATGTGTGAAAAGCTTTGGCTTAAATTCATGTTTGGATGGTCAAAAAGGAATATAGATCGCAGCCTATATGAAATTAGTGTGTTCAACTGTTTTTGTTTGTTTTAATTATTCTACAAGCTTTTGTAAGGACGATTTCTCTTCATTGAAGAATTCGACCAAGGAGGCAAGATTTTTAAGAAATGACATACTAAGTTTAAAATTAAGATGTCACAATTAATTGTCCAGATTAACAAACTTTCGCGTATTGCATTAAAATCAAAAGCAAGAGTTGTGAAAGTCAAGCACGATCTCCTTCACATCATTTTACAGGTAAATCAGAGCAAACTTTCTCACTGGAATCCATGCGGAAAAGAATGACAGCTTGACGGTGTGACATCCTCGTGTTGTTCGTGCAATGCACTCTGCTTAAAACTAGCACTCTGGTTAAATGCAATGTGTTCTGGTAAAAAGTGATGAATTTGAAAATTCATACCGCCTTCTATATCTTCTTTTTAAGTCCTGATTATGTTGCTGTTCACTCACTCCGCACGCTCCGCAGCAATGATGTGAGAAATGTAGCACGGATGAAGCAGCAGTTCTTACTTCAGCTGGCTAGCTGGCTTTGGCTGAGAAAAATTACTAGTCAGAGTTTGAAGCGGAATTTACAAATTGTTAGACAGTAGAATTTGATGGAGCTGCACATCCAACTCTGTCGATTAATAAACATTTTTTAGACTTCGCTATTTTATTTTCTAGACACAATCAAGTGTTCTGCTGGAAAATGCACCACTCGTAAAATTCCTACAAAACCACATCTGAGACACAGATTGTATTTTCCATATCCTCACTAGTGAAGATATTGATAACTTCACCGATATCATGTTTGACCCTTAAACTGTCATTATATTTGTTGGTGTGTGATCAAAACATCTTCGGACCTCCCTCAAAAGTCTTTGGCAACCGTCAGTTACAGTATCTTATGAAATCTTCGGTAATGTCAGGAAATTTTCGGAAAATGTCCGGTAACGTTCATGTGGCCTTCGAACAATTTTTGGAGTATCTTTGGAAATCTTCGGGAAATCTTGAAAAACATCACTATCAGTATGTCTATATAATAAACAAAATAATAAATGTTTGCTTGTAGATATGGAATATCTCTTCTTGTCTTCAACTTAAAGACTCTCTGTCGACCAGAATGCTTTTTGAGCGTTGTTTTTGTTTTCATTCAGTTGCTGAAGTAATTGCTAGAGAAATCGAAAGGAATTTGGGTATTTGGTGGCCTCAGATTTAATTTACTGGTAAAAACAGATGTAGTATGTTTGCTTTTGATGCTTTTTGACTTAGAATTTTCGTATTTTGAAATTCTGACCTGGCGTCACGAGGTGGCAAATGTCAGCCACAAAGTTCCATCCACCGTAGGTGCCACGCCGAGAACTGAAACAATTCCATAAAAGAAAGTTGCTTTTTTATTTTCTTTCACAAGGGTATATATACGAAATGTACTGTTCTTTCTTCACTTAGAATACTGCCTTATAGAATAGAATACTGCGTCACGAGGTGGCAAATGTCAGCCACAAAGTTCCATCCACCGTAGGCGCCACGCAGAGAACTGAAACAATTCCATAAAAGAAAGTTGCTTTTTTATTTTCTTTCACAAGGGTATATATACAAAATGTACTGTTCTTTCTTCGCTTAGAATACTGCCTTAGTCGTGAAGCAGAATAAGAGTTGTTGTGGGCAATTTCATACCACACTTTAGAGTTCCTACAGTGTTTTTTATTGATAACCAGTCACATATGGATACTAAAAAGTTTGCAGTTTGCTCATGCATTTTGCAAGAAAAGTTTTCTTCTCAAGGAATAAAACACAGTGGAGAAAGGACTTAGTTTCATCAATATAAATTTCCAGAAATCTTGCCACAGTGAACCTAAAACTAGATGAATCAACAGGCGATGCAACAGGCAATGCGATAGTCTTTTCCTGAGGCTGAAATGCAAAGCAAAATGTAATCAATTCACTGTCACTAGCCTTACTACAGCAGACGGAAGCAATTTTTTCTTGTATCCGAGTACATCGTAACTGTTCCTCTACCGATTCTGGACATATTTTCTCAGGTAAATATCTCGAAGAGTCTCTGTGGTCTAAAGCTCCCACCAAGGTTCTTCACACAAATCTCATTGTCACGGCTGTTGTTTAGCTTCTCAAATATGTCACAAACAGACGATTTTTTACCAAATGTCCTCCTCAATGTTAAGGGTGACAGTGAATCTTGTCGTAAAAGGCAATAAATGTCAAATATCCAGACAGATGCTTCGAGTGATTGCAGCGAATGAGTGATATATTAAGTTTAACACTCAAAGAGATACAGTCGAACCCTCTGTCAGTGACCACACAAAATGTCGAGCCTTGAAGGTTGCTTAGGGGAGGTGGTCACTTATGAGAGCTTAGACCATATTGGGTCAGAATTTTGCCTCATTAGCATAAGGTAACTGCGGAGATTTACCCATGTTTTAAATGTTCTATTCATGAGAAAAGTCAATTCCGAGAAAAAATCCGGTACTTCGAATTGAGAAATGTCCATCTCTTTTACTACCCAGGAATGCGATAAAACAAGTGAATATATGAAAGACCATACATTTGAACTGGGAAGAAGGATATAAAGATATGATTGATCATCGCACTTATACACACAACTTAAGCAGTTGTGAAGTTTAAGCCTGAAAAAAAGAAAAGAAAAGAAAAAAATAAAAATAATTCAAGCCTGAGTGTTCAGCCCTGAATTTTTTTCAGGCTTAAATTTCACAACTGCTTAAGTTGTGTGTATAACTGCGATGATCAATCATATCTTCATATGAATGCGATACTATTGCAACACCTTATTATCTAATTTCTGCTCTGTTGTCTGCCAAGTGGTCGCTTACAGGAGGTTAAAAGCAAAAGAAACTTTCAAACTTTAAGCTCTAAAAGTGGTCACAGTCGTTTACGAGAGGTGATCGCTTACAAGAGTTTCCTGATATAGTGATTTGACTTGGAAACTTATGGTATAGTTTGGAAAACTGGTTGCTGAGGAGAGGTCGTCGCTTACGAGAGGTGGTCGCAACCGGAGGTTTGACTGTATTCCATATCTACAAGTGCCCATCTATTATCCTCCCTATCTCCCTCAGTCAGTGTGCACACTGTGAGAGGGCAATTTAACAGACATTTACTGTGCGGCCCACTAGAATTTAAAGCTGTTTTTATTGCCAAAATGTTTTCTCAACTTTCATGGTAAATGAAGTTCAAAACATTTCGTAGCCTCTACTTTCTGTATTAAAACATGCTAAGGTCTGCTACCGACTGCACAACCATTTCGAATTGAATCGTTTTGCTCTCGACGCACGTCAGTCATTTGAAGCAATTCTGTATGACTTGAAATCATTTCCCAAACCCCTCTGGACACAGAGTAGAGATATAATCCTCATCATCCTCATCATCCTCACCATTCTCATCCTCCTCCTCCTTCTCCTACTCCTGCTCCTCCTCCTCGTTATCCTCATCCTCATCCTCCTCATCATCATTCTCATCCTCCTCCTCATCCCAATCCTCATCCTCCTTATCCTCATCCTTATACAAACATATATACATATATACATACTTTGTTCATCCTAAAGGGGCTTTTCGGAATAAAGATAGTGAGAACTAATAAACAAAATTAAATTAATTGAAAAATTCTAAGTACATCTCAATTAATTAACTGATAGAGGCGTTTTCAATTGAGTGCCATAAAACCAAAACCAAATCAATTACTTATCAATTAAACTACTCAGCCAATCTCAAACCGAAGTAAAACCAAAACCAAAACCAAAGTAATTGTCTAATTACTTTTGACACTCAATTGAAAACTGCTCTAAGTTACAACTAATTAACAATTAATCAATTATTTATGTGTAAATAATCCTCCTTATCCTCCTTATCCTCATCCTCATCCTCCTTGTCCTCATCCTCATCCTTATCCTCCCTATCCTCACCCTCATCTTTATCCTCATCGTTATTGTCATCCTCCTCATCCTCATCCTCAACCTCCTCATCCTTGTCCTCACCCTCCTCATCCTTATCCTCCTTATCCTCATCCTTATCGTCCTTATCCTCATCCTCCTTTCCTCATCCTCGTCATTGTCATCCTCATCCTCCTTATTCTTATCCTCCTCATCCTCATTCTTATCCTTATGCTCCTCATTCTCCTTAACCGCATCCTTATCCTCCTTATCTTCGTCCTCATCCTCATCCTCCTTATCCTCGTCCTCATCCTCATCCTCATCTTCCTTATTCTTATCCTCTTCATCCTTATTCTTATCCTTATGCTCCTCATCCTCCTCAAACACATCCTTATCCTCCTTATCCTCATCCTGATCCTCATTTTTTTATCCTCATCTTCATCCTCATCCTCCTTGTTCTTATCCCCAACCTCATCCTCCTCATCCTTATCCTCCTTATCCTCATCCTTATCTTTATTCTCCTTATGCTCATCCTCATCCTTATCCCCATCCTCCTCATTCTCCTCCTTCTTATCCTTATCTCCCTCATTCCTATCCTTATCCTCATCCTTATCCTCACCCTCCTCATCTTTATCCTCATCCTTATCCTCATCCTCATCCTCATCCTCATCCTCATCCTCATCCTCCTTATCCTCATCCTCATCTTCCTCATCCTCATCCTCATCCACCTGATCCTCATTGTCATCCTCATCCTTATCCTAATGCCCGTCATCCTCCTTAACCGCATCCTTATCCTCCGTATCCTCCTTATCCTCATCCTCTTCCTCCTTATCCTAATCCTCATTTTCCTTATCCTCATTCATCTTTCTTATCCTTTTCCTCATCCTCATCCTCCTTATCCTCATCTTCATCCTCATCCTCCTTATTCTCAACCTCATCCTCCTTATCCTCATCCTCATCCTCTTTACCCTTATCCCACATCCTCATCCTCCTTATCCTCAACCCTCTTATCCTCATCCTCCTTAGCCGCATCTTTATTCTCCTTATCCTCATCCTTATCTTCCTTATCCTCATCCTCCTTTTCTCAGCCTTCTTATTTTTATCATCCGCATCCTCCTTATTCTTATGCTCCTCATCCTCATCCTCATTCTTTTTAATTGCATCCTTATCCTCCTTTCATCATTTCCATCCTGCTTATCCTCATCCTCATTCTCATCTTCACCCTCCTTACCCTAATCCTCATTTTCCTTATCCTCATCTTCATTCTCCTCATCCTCATCCTGCTTATCCTTATACTTATCCTTGTCCTCATCCTTATCCTAATCCTCATTCTCATCCTCCTTATCCTCATTCTCATCTTCGTTATCCTCATCCTCCTTTCCTCATCCTTCTCATCATCCTCCTTATTCTTATCCTCTGTATCCTCATCCTTATGCTCCTCATCTTTATCCTTATTTTCATCCTCCTTAACCGCATCCTTATCCTCGTTTTCCTCATGCTTATCCTCCTTATCCTCATCCTCTTCCTCATTCTCCTTATCCTAATTCTCATTTTCCTTATCCTCATCTTCATCCTCATACTCATCTTCGCCTCATCCTCCTTATTTTCATCCTCATTCTCATCCTCATCCTCCTTATCCTCATCCTCCTTATCCTCATCCTCATCGTGCTTATCCTTATCCTCAGCCTTATGCTCATCCTCCTCTTTCTCATTCTCCTTATCCTTATCCCCGTCATCCTTATCTTCTTTATCCTCATTTTCGTTCTCATCCTTATCTTCTTTATCCTCATTTTCGTTCTCATCTTTATCTTTATCCTCATCCCTCTTATCCTCATCCTCCTTATCTTTGTCCTCATTCTTCTTATCCTCATCTTTATCCTTATCCTTCTTATCCTTATCTTCATCCTCTTCATCCTCATCCTCATCCTCATCCTCCTTTTCCTCATCCTCATCCTCCTTATCCTCATCCTTATCGGCCTGATCCTTATCCTCATCCTCCCTATCTTTATTCTCATCATCCTTATCCTCATCGTCATCCTCATCCTCTTCATCTTTATCCTTATTCTCATCCTCGTTATCTTTATCCTTATCCTTAACCTCCTTATCCTCTTCTTCAGCCTCATCCTCCTTATCGTTATCCTCATTCTCATCCTCCTTATCTTTAACCTCATCATCCTCATCCTCATCATCATCCTCATCCTCCTTATCCTCATCCTCCTCATCTTTATCCTCATTCTCATCCTTATCCTTATCCTCATTATCCTTATCCTCATCCTCTTCAACCTCATTCTCATCCTCATTCTCTTTATCCTCATCCTCATCCTCATCCTTATCCTCGTTATCCTCATCCTTATCCTTCTTATCCTTTTCCTCATCCTCATCTTCCTTATACTCTTCTTTATCATCTTTATCCTCATCCTCATCCTACTTATCCTAGTTCCCCTCCTCCTTATCCTCATCTTCATCCTTATCCACTTTATCCTAATGCTCATTCTCCTTATCCTCATCTTTATCGTCATCCTCCTCATTCTTATCCTCATCCTCATCCTCCTTATCCTCATCCTCATTGTCATCGTCCTTATCCTTATCCTCCTGTTCCTCTTCTTCATCCTTATCCTCCTTATCCTAATCCTCATCCTCCTTATCCTTATCGTCATCCTCATCCTCATTTCTTATCCTTATCCTCATCCACCTCATCCTCATCCTTATCCTCTTCATCCTTATCTTCATCCTTATCCTCATCCTCCTTATCTTCATGTTCATCCTTATCCTTCTTATCCTAATCCTCATCTTTGCCCTTATCCTCCTTATCCTTATCCTCATTATCCTTATCCTTATCCTCTTCAACCTCATTCTCATCCTCATTCTCTTTATCCTCATCCTCATCCTCCTTATCCTCATCCTCATCCTTATCGTCCTTATCCTTATCCTCATCCTCCTTATTATCATCCTCATCATTTTTATCCTCATCCTCGATATCGTTATCCTCATCCTCCTCATCTTTATCCTTATCCTCCTTATCCTCATCCTCCTTATCCTCGTGCTTATCCTCATCCTCATCTTCCTTATCCTCATCCTCCTCATCCTCATCTTCAACCTCATCCTCCTTATTCTCATCCTTCTCGTCCTCATCATCATCATTATCATCATTATGAAAATTAAAAACTTTGTTAATGTGTCGAATTGTTTTAGCTGTGGGATAATCCTCTACTAATAGAGGACACCTACCTAAACAAGCTTACTGACCTTAGACTCGGTTAGTGAAAGGAATGTAACGCACCACTCCGAACACAGGTGGCCCAAGTTCACTATGGGAGGAGGCTCTTTTATCTTTTTCTTTTTGCTTTTATGCAAACGTTCAGCGAAACGTGACATATACGGCTGACATAAACTGTTACGTAACCACCAAGTTCGAATACGCAGCAAGTGCAGCCTTATTTCGAACTGTACGTCATGTAATTGTGGGTAATGTGTCGCCACAGGAATTTGATTTACTCGGTTAATCGCTGACGAAATGGAGATTACGACCGAACGATATGTTGCAATCCAATGAAATGGTGTTCCTTGGTGGTACGGTTAAATGTAAAGTACGATCCAATGGCTTTATGTACGATCGAATGCCATAAAGGAATGAACTACTGGAATAAAGCAAGAACAAATAGTATCAGGCACGATTCAATTGAATGCAGGTACAATCCAACTGAATGCGTGTACTACCCACAACCCGATGCGATCTAATGAAATGTAAATGCAATCCAATAGGATATGGTCATGGTCTAATTGCATTTGTGTCCTCAATGCCCCTCCATATAAATCTAAGTAGTGTAATTTGATACTTTCACATCAACGGAGATGGAGTAACAAATCTATGCTATATGTTGAGGAGAAGTTCTCTGTATTTCAATTTTGTTACTGAGTATTGATGTGCAGTATCGCCGCTCCCATTGCAGGCCTTCGAAGATATTTCATGGTAGGCGAATGAAAGTCGGTCAGAGGACTGTTGAACAAGAGAAGATCATAGCCCAGACGTTTGTCAAGTTTTTGGAAGACGGAAACCGCAAGGAAAACATGTTTGTGGACGAGTTGAGGCAGACTTACCAAGAATTTCGCTCGTTGTACGATACACTGGGTATGTCATTCTCCAAACTTCTCAACACACTTACTTATCATCTAAACATCTGCCAGCAACTTCATGACCGTGTTATATTTGGAGGCGGAGATGCCGCAGCACTTCAACTCTTAGTTGACGATCCAAGTGACGAATCGGAAGGTGAAGATGACTTTTTCAGCCTCACGAGGCATGGAGCTTATCACTGCAAAGTTTGCAAAAGGGATCTTGGGAGTGCAGACGCTTACAGGACTCACATGGCTGGTGTGAAACATCGCCAACAGTATATCCTCAGAAAGATTCGAAAATCACTCCAGANGGAGTGCAGACGCTTACAGGACTCACATGGCTGGTGTGAAACATCGCCAACAGTATATCCTCAGAAAGATCCGAAAATCACTCCAGAAGTAAGTCTAGCTGCACGTTATGTTGAACATCTTAACAATCGATCATTTTCTGTTTCGATTAGTTTACTTAACTAGATCGGTTGGGAAATAGCACTTTCTGAAACGCTAATTCCTTATCAGGGCTCAAACTAGACCTATCCTACACTTCCACTGTCAACAGGTTTCAGCAGAACACAAACCATTAATCTATACACGAACTACGGACGAATGTGCTGATACATGTTAGACTGGTTCAAATATCCCTCTTTAATCAGTAACTTTATGCTTTCTAGTTTCGTTTTTGTATGTAGTTTTCTACACATACAAATCAGGAGGTAAGATTTGCATCGTGCACACTGACCAAAATGTGTCATGTCTTACTTCTGTTCGCGGAAATCATAGTTTCTAAAACTGTTCGCGGTCAGATTTTCTACCGTGAATGAGATCAATAAAAAAACTTTTCTGATCAACCATGGTTTTAAATTACTAACTAAGCATTCTCTTTTCTCATACAGACCGGAGCTTATCTTTGACAAACAAGGGATAAAACTCACTTCAGATCCCGCTGGAGACGAAAGTGGAGTGATAGAATTAAGGGTTGAGAGCGGGAAATATGGCCAGATAGTGCTGATCATAGAAAACACCAGCGATGAGAGAATCACTCTGAAGCACATCACTCTACTGTGGAGCATCAGTTTTTTTGATTACTCGGAGATTTCCCGTATTGGACCTTCTGAGGGTCGACTCTTTCCAGGTAATTCTTAGCTTGCTTTAGCTTGAATTTCAGCAGTCCCCTAAGATAACGACTTACTAATGCTAGCGACTACATCTGTTTCACTTGTTTCTTTACCCTTTAATTTAAAAGAGTGATCTAAATCTGGTCATGTCGAAATATGGTCAAACAGTCATGACGGAGATGAGAATTGAATGGTTCTCAATTATTATCGAAAGTAATCAGGCAATTGGCAAATGGATTTGAGTTAGCTACGGTTTGAAATTGACTGAGTACAGCAATCTAATTGGCAAGTAATTGGTTTGATTTTGGTTTTACGACACTCAGTTGAAAACTGCTCTAGAAAAGGGAACAACATTAACTATGAAGATATGATTGATCATCTCAGTTATACACACAACTTAAGCAGTTGTGAAATTACAGCCTGAAAAAAATTCAGGCCTGAACGGGATTCGAACCTATGACCTCTGCGATATCGGTGCAGCGCTCTACCAACTGAGCTATCAAGCCAATTGAGAGCTGGTCACATTATGAGTTCGTAATATACCCGTAGATGGTGAAGAATACGTGGGTCATGGGTTCGAATCCCGTTCAGGCCTAAATGTTTTTCAGGCTTTAATTTCACAACTGCTTAAGTTGTGTGTGTAACAGCGATGATCAATCATGTCTTCATATTTTTCCCCGCAGGTCAAATATATGATCTTTCGTATGTTCACTTGTAACATTAACTGTGTTCACCGAGGATGCTATGTTATCTTGGATTATAGAAAACCAAATCGTCATAACTGACTGTCATTGCTTATGAAGCCTTGTTTCCGTCATTGATCGCTGGAGTATTTTGATTTTTGGTTGAAAATTGTAGTATGCATACAACAATGCATACTATATGGTACCAGACATGTAAGCAAATGTTGTTATTTATTAAAAAAAAAAAAATGGTACCAGACAAGTATGCGTACTAAATTGTAGTATGCATTCAAAACCTCTCTTACTTTCTTTTTTAGTACTAGAGGGCGTAGGCGAACTAACCGTGCAAATTATTCCAAGGAATGTTGGTTCGGTTTGCACGATATTTCCTTTAGAGCTCAGTGTTTTTTTGGACACCTTTATTCATGTCTGTCTAGCTACAGCATGGCCATAGTTGTTGTTGTTGTTGTTCATATTGATGTTCTCATTGCTGTTCTGGTTGTTGTCCTCGTCAGTTGCTGTTGTTGTGAGAGTGTAACGTTCTTATTTATCAAAATTACAATAAAAACGTTCGCTGGCTAAAAATTTTCAAAAAATAACATGAGATTTCGGCTGTCGATCTACAGCTTTCGACGGATAAAAAATGGGATGCAAAAGATAAAATATATGCAAGAAAAGGCGAGATAAAAATAAGAGGAAAAACAAAAGCAAAGTAAAAATGTGTAACTTAGGTGACTATTATTTAAAAAGAATTCTATACTGGTTTGGAATCGGCTTAGAATTATTGTCAGCATGCTTGGTTGCAGAGGTGTGCCAAGCCTCCAAAGTTTGTCTAATGCGAAAAGAGCCTTTGTCGATGACACTAGAATTGTCAAAATCTTTGCGATGGTCGAATGACCATGCATGTTTCGCAATGTTTGATCCATTAGCACATGTTTTGACATTCCTGATATGTTCTTTCTTACGCCAAAACACCGGCCGGTTTCCCCTACATAACACCAATCACAATCGGCACAGGGTATTTTATAAATCACGTTCGGTTGATGTTCAATGGATGGTCTGAATTTGGGAGAAGGAAATTCTTGTTGCAAAGTCTTGAAGGGCTTATTTACAACTTGAATTTCGTGCCTTCGAAGAATTCTTGTTAGTGGTTGGCTGACACCATTGATGAAGGGGAGGACAGCAAAACTGTTAGGATTCTCTTGTGGCGTAGCCCATTTAAAAAACATGCAAACCAATTCTTATTTTTATCTCGCCTTTTCTTGCATATATTTTATCTTTTGCGTTCCATTTTTTATCCGTCGAAGGCTGTAGATCGACAGCCGAAAGTTCATGCTATTTTTGAAAACTTTTAGCCAGCGAACGTTTTTACTGTAATTTTGATTATGTCTCATCCTGGCTGCGCTTCAATCTTCAATCGTTCTTATTTATCCTCTGCAGGTTGTCTAAGAATGTTCAAGATCGGCTGCAAGCGCCGCAGAGAGTATGGCTATTCCTACGTTCCTGGTGTACTCACGTTCGAGACTGAAGACGACATGGAGGAATTTCACATCCTCAGGTTTTTGTCCGTGCGCATCGTTAGCGACTTGTACGATGATTTGAAGCAGA